TTCTGCGAGCCCCTCTCTGCGAGCACCTGCAGCTGCTGCGCCGCGTCGCGGTGCTGGTCTTCATGTCATGCCGAGTGCCCCTGCCTTCACATGTCGCCAGTCTAGCTCAGATGTCTACAGCCGCCGCGGCCGACGCGTTGGCCTCTGGTTGGTTGAGTGCGTGCGCCCTGTCCTCTGCCAGTTGACCGCCCAAGGCAAGAAGCCTCCACCCGGTGCATACTCAGCAAAGCTCTTGCCCCCAAGACGTGGGCGCGGCATGTTGCAGCTCAGAATCTGCAACACTCCAGTCCACAGAGCCGCGGCCGGCTCCTTTTAGCTCTCCAGCAGCCTCTAAGGCCGCCGGAGTGTCATCGCGATCCGGTCTTTCTGCTTGCCACTGTCCCCATGCGTTCCCCTTGGGGCCAGTTGCAAGATAGACGCCGCGGCGCGCGAGGCGCCGCTCCATTTCTCAAAAGAAACCACTCACCAGCGTTTTTTACTCTGAGCGGCCAGCCCCTCCTAGCCTACCAGGCTCGTGGTTCGCGTGCGTTCCATGTTTCCATCCTCGTGGCTGGTTGACGTGACTCACCGGGGTGGGCCAGGTTTAGCCGGTGAGGCTCTCCACCGCCCTCAGGATGCACGTGGAGCCCCCTGCCTGCCAGCCCTGCCTGCGTCACTTCATCGAACAAGGCCGCCGGTACTGCGCGGAGGAGTTCTGCACCCCATAGCCCAAAGAGTTCAACTCTACAGATGCTGCCACTTCTTGTTCGTGTGAGAGGAACGCCGCAACCGGCGGGGCCTCGAGGTCTATCCGTTAGCGGCGGGCCCCCTTTCGTTGTCGTCGGGGCTGTCTGCTTGCTCGGGTGCCTCGTCGTCCACGCCGCCTCCGCTGCTTTTTGCGCTGCGCACGGCTGCAGCAGCTATGGTCCACGCTTGCGTTGGGTCTTAGCCTCAATTGCGGCGCTGTCCGCCCCCGCAAATGCGCCACCAGCATGCCATGCGCAGACTCGATTTCGAGCTAGAGGCCCGCGCGTCCTCGTCTCTTCATACGAAGTAAACAAGGCCACCCAGAATAAAGCAGCGATACCCTGTGGGCCCACGCGGGGCCTACGGTTCCCTGCCTCCGCCGCCAAAGAGGTGAAAGCGTAGAACGCGGACGCGGCCGCGCGGCGGCTGCTTGTTGTACTCCGCCACAAACACGGCCGCGCTGCGTGCTGAGCACTCGCACAAAGCGCCGACAGACTTCTGTCATGTGTGTTCTTCACCACAACAAGGCAACGCAAGACATAACACTGCCGCGCGCTTGCTGCCTTCCAGTATCGTCAGACACGCCGACCCGAGTGCTGTTGAGTTCTTGCTTGTTGCTAACTGCTGCCATGGCGGCCACACCGGCAGGCGCAAGGCCGTCCCCGTCTCGAAAGGTTGCGACAAGTCGGTCCGGGCCTTTGCTGTGCGACCTTTTGGGGCTTCCTTGTTCGTGGCGTTCTGGAGATCCTTGGCAACGACTCCTGCGCGGGCGCGCTCGGTCTCGGACGCAAGACGTTTGCCGCGCGAGGCCGCGGGCGCCGCCAAAGGTCGAACGCCTTTCCACTGCCTCCGTTTGTGGCGGCCATCGAGCCACGCACTTGCAGCGTTCTCCGGTGGGGGAAGCGGTGCGCACCCGTCAGTCTGGTCTCGTGTCTGCCTGTTCGTTGGCCTTCTGGGGCTGGAACTGCGACCGTCATGCGCCTGCTCCTTCCCTGGCGGTCCGCGCTGCGCCCTGTGGGTCCGTGATTGATGAGATATGCGGGGGCAGAGTGCTGCCCAGCGTCGTGCGGCGCATTTATCCGAGCCCTGCCCGGCGGCTGTGCTTGCTCCTCCGCCTTCATCTCAGAGCCGCCGGCCGCCGGGTCCGCCTCTCCTGGTGGAGTCTTCTGCCGCGCCAAGTGGGGCTGTGCGCAGAAGCCTCCCCACCCAGTCGCGGCCTTCAAGGAATCGGGACCCTGCGCCACGCTGCCGGGGCGATACATAAGCGCTGCCGCTATTGGCAGGCAGTGTTCCTCGTTCGGTGCCGTAAAGAGTCCGCGGCCCTTGCGTGTGAGCGCAGTGCCTGACGCCGTTGGCCGCCACGTCTATCAGGTAGCCGCCGCGCGTGGCACTGTCGTCGAAGGAGGCGCCTTTTAGGTTGATTCTCGCCGAGACTGCCTCCAGCTCAGCGGGCTGGACTGGTGCAGCGGGGCGACGATGGCGCATCTCCTCACTGAGTCCCCGCGGTGTCCTTCTGTCAAGTCCTGGCCCTGCTCGCGCCACCGCGCGCTGGTACAGCGTCACGCAAGCCTGAGCGCCTCGCGGTACGTAGGCGCCTGGCTCGTCTCCATGGACAAACTGCGAGCGGCCTCTCGCTTTTCATTCTCCATCTGCGACGACTTCTATGCCCAGCACACAAGGTAGCTACAATAAACGAAGCCGGCTGCCATGCTCTTGCCCGCAAGCACATACTAGCGCAACGCGGTCCCCTACACTTGTGGGCCCTCGCGGCAGAGTGCGCCGAGGTCGGGCGACCGCCTCTGCTGCTGCTGCTCCGCCGTCAGCTTCTTCCCAGAGTTTCCTGCCCCAGTCCCCTGCTTCACCACCCCAGCCAAGTTAGTTTGCTGCTGCTGCCGCATAATTGGCGCCATCGATCAGGATCAACTCGATGCCAAGCCCTTCAAGCCACGCGCTGGCCCCCAGCTCCTCCGGTGTCAACTGCTTGACGGCTGCCGCACGTTCGGCAGCCTCGTTTTGCGCTAGCTGCTTGGCGGCTGCCGTGTGGTCGGCAGAAGTGCGCGACGCCTGGCGCTCTCCTTTTGATAGACGAGCGATCTCTAGCGGCTGCCGCTCCTCTATTTCTGACGCCAACCGCTTCCCTTCGCTCGACAGCAGCCGCGTTCGTATCCCTGTCGACCAAGCTTCAACTGGGTCGCCACACTCGGGGCCAATACTGAAACTACGACGAAGCGACACAGACTGAGGCGCCCTCGCTCTCTCTCTCTCTCACTCTCGTGGACGCTTCTTCAAAGCCAGCCTCGAAGAATCCAGTGTGTGAATAAGTAAGAAAAAGCTACTTCTTAGAATAGTGACCCAGAGCAGATAGTGCTGATACTGAAGGGCGCCCTGACCTTTTTCCCTCAGAAAAGCTGGCCAGATGTTACGACCCCTTCTATGCAACATTTTGCCACTGTTGTTCCCGTTGTAGTCTCTATCTTAATCTATTCCAGGCGCTACCTGAAGAGAAGACACATACTTTTTCACGTGGCCACTTCTTCTCTTGGCCCTGTCGATTTGCTACTGTCAGAACCGTTTTCAAAATTCCTATAACTTCAGAGCGCAGTAATTATATTAGAAACCGACAAGCTTGCTGCACTAAAATAAAACCACAGACCAGCGGGGTGTGACAATTATTACGACCCGAGCAGCTTGCTAGGCTCTTCGGCCTCAGCATCAGACGAAAAGAGCTGAGTCGACAAAAGCAAAAAACTGGAAGCACCGCAACACGAGTAGACTCCGCAAAAAATGAGGCCCCACTTTTCAGGTTCCTCCCAGTGCTACTGTCAGAACATTGAAACAAAGTGACGAGCCCCGACAGTCTTGCCTTTCATGGGTCGAAAAGTGGCCACATAGCGCTTCTCTTCTGGTGCGGGTGCTGCTTGAATTATATGAGGAGGCATCTGCGGAGGCCTTAATCATGTCCAGGCAGTCGGTTTGCGTCGTCGCCGCTTACTCCTGCAACATCATCTTCGGGACTGTTGCCTGCTGTCTCGCGGATCTTCCCAGCAAGAACCTCAGCAATTGACTGGACCCACTGCACACTCAGAGGCTCCTTCGAAATGCCACCGGCAGGCTCGGTTCCTGATTCGGGTGGAAGAGCTCGAAACTCAAAAACAGCGCTGGCCTTTCGCTTTCTTAGAGCTACCGCGGTCGCATCCCTGAGAGCGTCCTTGTCTAGTCTATTCTGTCGATGACGTCAGCGGCGCTCGCCTTTTTCAACTAAAAACTTCAAGGGCGAGGGATGGCGCTGAGGATGTTCCAGTCGTGCTAGCCTTAACGCCGCTTTCTGTTTCTGTTCCAGTCCAAGAGAAAAATCGAAGTCGTCAGGAATCTTCGACAGCGCGTCCTCCTTCGCTTTTTGGTAATGCACAACGTCGAGCAGCTCGAAGGTTATGCTTCCGGAGGGAATCCTATGCTTATGGGGTTCTGGTTCCGCTTCCGCTGCAAGCAAAAACTTTAGACGAAAGCTAACTCCCCACACCAACTCAAAAAAAAAGAAACTATCCTATGAAGTCAACAAAGAAGAAAAAAAAACGAAACTATGATAGTAGGGCAAGTGCAAATAATTAACCCAGGCGGCGTCACTAGCTGAGTAGGCTCTTCGTCCTTGTAAATGCAAGAAGTTGCGGAGCATTAATCAACACACGACAGCATGGAAATGCAGCAGCCAGACTGGAAGTACGTAGCTATAGTCTCCCTGTACTGGTGGAATCCGAAAAGCGACGCTGCCCTCTCTTTAATAATATCTCGAATAAGTCTGACAATTTAATTCTCTAACGCTTGTCCTTTCACCACACTGTAAGTAAACCAGTGAGGGGACAAACTGACTCGTCATCTTCCCCAATAAAATTGAACGTAGTGGTTAAGAAAAACAACATAATCCGTTCTTCTAGTTCTATGTTTGGTCCAGAATAATAGCAGACAGTAATGACCTCTCCACACATATTCAATCTAGGAGCTCCTCTAGCATTTCTGGGGCTCGGAATCTTGGAGCTCGGATGTCCTGCTCCTAGTGTACAACCTCCTAAGTACACAACTCGTGGAGAAGATCACTCAAATTCAAAATCAAAGTCTACTAAACGGCCTCTAAACTGCTACCTACAGTGGACATGATTCAAAATCTAAACGTCTCGACCACTGGTCCGTCTTAATGCCAGGCGCTGCATTAGCCGCTGAACCCCCCACTGGAGGAAGGTGTTACCCACGACTGGAAGAAGACTCGCGAGTTTGTGTGTCCAGGAGTTCGGAAGATTTAGACTCGTGGCGGCCCTGTGAATGCTCTCACTCATTGACCAGAATTCCGACGGGGGAACTCCGTTCCCCCTTGGCCTTTCTACTTGGGAACGACGTTCCCACATCTTCGCTCTCAATGAGTAACACCAACCATGCGTCCTGGTCTCCTTCCCCCACGTATGATAGAGATAGATCATGTAGAAAAATATAACATCTCTAGTTGTAGACTAGGCAAGATATTGCCAATCAATTAGGTAAGCCGACCAGAGTCGTGATGCGCTCGCCTCTTTGATCGAGTGACCCGTCGCAGGAGCAATAATAATTAGTTTCACGATGAGTCAAAGACGATTATAAAGCGCATAAGTCGTCCGAAGATGTTTGGCGCAGGAGTACGTGAAACTTAGAGGACGTCGAAGCATTTGCTCACTTTTTCATCTTGCTCAACTTCATCACGACACAAACTAAGTTTCTCAAAGTGATGTTCTTGACATCAACATCAAACAAGAAATTGCTCTTCGTGTCAACATCACACACAAGGCGAAATGAATCACATTCGTCATCTAGTCGAGCCCCCGAGTCCTAGCTTGTATAGCTTTTCCCGGAATACGGCTCAAGGCCCCGATGATGGAAACCACGCGGCTGATTCTCTTCAAATTCGCGGCAGATATTAGACGAAGGCCCTACTCGATAAAATAGAACAATATATAATAGAACAGTTTATAAGGGTGCCCAACATGGCTGGGCTGGGCACGCTGGGCACACTGGGTCGCTGGGCGACCCAAATGTGCCAGATCTGCCGCATTCCGCGCCCAGCGTCACGCCAGGCGTCTCCAATTGCGGGGCGCCCGTCAGGCGTCCGCTTGAGAACCCCGCCAGCAGTGCTAGTCTAGCGTAAGCCAAGGCCAACGACGCTGGCGAGTTTACCGTTGTGCACAGGAGCGGCGCAGAATCCATTGCATGCACCGAGCAGCGCGACGCAGTGCAAGCCTGAACAGAGCAGGCGCCGCGCAGCCTGCTAATGCGCTGCCCTGAACCTTGCGGGCGGCGCGCCGCCTTTGTTTGGCCTCACGGGACGCGCTGCACCGCGTCCCCGCGGCGCAAGTAAATCCATCGACCGCGCAGGCTCAGCATGCTCAATGTGTGGCCCTCAAGTTCGCTAAGTGCTATCCAAGCGCCCGCCCAGCGTGCCTAGCGTTGCCGCCCAGCCCAGCGCGCCCCGCGTTGCCGCCCAGCCTGCCTAGCGAGGCCGCCCAGCCTGCCGCCCAGCGTAGCCCAGTGTCTGCAGACTCCTTTAATAGAGTTAGGCCTTTCCTGACCAACATCAGGCCGGGTTGCTCAGGTTGCTCGAGTTGCCAACCCAAATTCTTTTGCGCGGCGCCCTTCGGGCGCAGATTTATGACCCTACTAGAGACCTCACCAAGAGCGCACGACACCACGCACCGCGTCTCTGATCCTTGGCATTCTTCTTAGTGCGCCCTTAAGTTAAGGCCCCACCAAGTCAACTTACTAGCCCTATGTATCTTGCCAAGGAAGTGCGGCCACCTATTCTGCCTCCCAGCTGAGTAGTGTGGCATCTACCTAGATGGGTAAGATATCTAGCGGCGGCGCCCTATCTACTTACGCCGTCTAAGTGGTTCTAGTTGCATACTGATGGCGATGCGCTCGCATATAAAGATCTAGCGCGCCGATCCATTTCAATTTAGCAACCTCCTCCAGCCTACTTACTGCTATACCCAAGACTGGACACGCCGCCCGTCGAAGCCAGCGGACGGAGACTCGCTCTCAGCCCCCAAGTAGATTGATTGGCCACGCTCACACCCGAAGAAAAAAGGGAGAGATCGCCAACGACTCGAAGACGACACACGTACCGACCACAGCGGCACCCACCTCAAAAAAACAACAGAGAGCAGGGGCCGGCGCTCCTTGTTTTCGCTTCAAACACGCGCCCGCACGCTACAAAGCAAGAGCCTGAAAGGCTGCAGAGCCCCTCACACGTGGCTCCCCCTTTCATGAGCAACAACAAAAAGCAAGAGCTGCGCTCTTCTTCATTTCTTCACTTCGAGCGTGCAGATGCTCCTACCTTCATACCGCCCAGCTTCACCCCATTTTGCTGGGCCAGCCACGGCTCTCCTGGCAACCCGTGGCAACCCGTTCCAGATTTGGAACCCCTGCGCTTCAGCAACCCGAGCAACCCGCTGCAACTCGAGCAAACCCGAAACCCGTCTAATATGAGGGAGGCTGCCAACGTGGTGGGGCTGGGCACGCTGGGCACACTGGGTCGCTGGGCGACCCAGATGTGCCAAGCCTTCCGAATTCTGCACCCAGCGCGACGCCGGGCGCCTCCGATTGCTAGCGAGTTTACTGGGGTGCACAAGAGCGGCGCAGCATTGCACGCACCAAGCAACGCAGTGCAGCGCGACGCAGTGCAAGCCAGAACAGAGCAGGCGCAGCCCGCTACTGCGCAAACTGGCGCAGCACTGCGCCAGCGCTGCCCTGAACCTTGAGGGCAGCGCGCCGCCTTTGTTTGTGCTCACGGGACGCGCCGCGCCACCGCGTCCCCGCGGCGCTCATCCGGACCCCGCGAAGCGAGAAGCCGGGATGTTTGAGGGATATTTCTGAGCCATTCGACGCGACAAGTGCAGCGACGTCGCAGCCGCTGCCGCCGGTCTCTCTTGTTCTCTCACATCTTTCAAGCCCACAAGCCGCAACACATTCCCCGCAAAAAGGCGCGAGCTCTGAAACTTCAGACATGAGCTCTGAAAGCTAAGACGTGAACTGAAGTCTGAAACTAAAAGGCTGAAGCCTGAGGCTCAGAGAATGAATACTGAAGGCCAGGACATGAATAGCGAAAGAAAGCTGCGCACGAGCTTCGGAAGCTATGTCGTGAACTTTGGGAGCGAGTTAGGAAGTGAATCCTGAAGGCAAAGCTCGGGCGTGAAGTTGGAAAGTTAGATAGGCCGTGAGCTCTGATAGCTAGCTGGGCCAAGAGTGTATAACTTTGAAACTTAAGCCGGGGGCTCTGGGCGGTAAGGATTGCTGTTGAGTTCTGAGGGTTAAGCCTTGAATTTTGGAGAGAAGTCACCCAAGCCCCGAACTTCGAAAGTTTCAGCGTGGATTTTGAAGGCTATACAGTCAGGGTGGGCCTTGAGCGTTAAGGCGTGCGTGAGCTTTGAAATTTCGGACGTGAGTTCTGAGCGCTAAGACATGCACTAGAAAAGCCAAAGCGCCCGCTTTCACTCACCACGAATCACAGACAGGCAAAAGCTTACAGCATTGAACCCCAAAGAACCCGCGTGGCCTCTCAAAGCGTCAGACCCTGGTGGACGAACCTGCCCCGGGGGGCATGCGCCTCCTTATGTCTTCCGCCTGAAGATAAGCCCGCAGGCGTCCCCACCCCTTTCCGGCGTAATGCACCCACACAAGATCACGCCGCACTGCTATTCGAGTCCAGCGGAGTGCTTCAGTTGTCGACAATCCTGCTCCTGCACAGTGAGGACATTTCTGCAGCTTCTTCCCAAGTCTGGCGCCTGCTGAAGGCTGTCCACGTGTGTGCTCTGTCTAGCAAGTGTCTCGGGCTCGTTCCCATCGCGTGGCACCCTTCCCCTGGGGAACCACGTCGCGGGGCTTGTTAGAACACTGAAAACCCAGAAAACTAGACCCGCAGGGGAGTCAAGTCGGAAACAGTATCCCCCTCGCCATACCTGCGAAGGTTGGAGCAAGTCCATTCAGTTTGGTGATTCTCATGCAGTTTCAAAGTGTGCCAGTTCATGTCTATGAGTATCAAGCTACTTGCTACGCTAGGGGCCTCAGTGCTGACGTTCTCGATCCCGATAGTATTCCACTCCCATGGCGATCATCCTGATGGTGATCCCCTTGGTGTGATCGTGTTGGCCTTCCTACTGGTGTGATTCTGACCCTGTAACCATTTGCCATTTGGTTCACGATCTTGGTGGGCCTCTTGACTGTTGAGCCGTTTCACGTTGTTGATCTATCCCCTATCAAATTACTCTGCCTAACATTCCCCCTCTCAGTGACAACGATGAAAGCCTATGCCCTCGCCCTGCCACTGCATAGAGAACACCGAGTCAGAAACGACAACGACAGTCAACCAGCCCAAAGCCAACACCAGAAAGACGACAGTCGCTCACTATGAGAAATGGCTACGGTCACCTGAGACGCCACCCGATTGGAAATCAATGCAGATCCCACTACGTACGGACAAAAACCCCCGCAGGCACCTAGCTGCCCGCCCCCAGTGCGCTACTTGGAGCCCGGGGCCGCTGGTAGTTACAACTTTCGAAAACTTCCGCAAAAATTTGAAAACCCAAGACCCAAGCCCAGCCGAATGCACAACCAACCACCCCAGAAGACTCACACACCTAGAGGCACCCAGAGACGGAGACAATGCCGAAACGGCGAACCCCTGAGCAATCCACGACCCGAACACAAGCCGAGCGCCTGCCTCAGAACCTGCAATCAATCAGCTAGCACTTGCCCTCCAGCCATCTGCCGGGGCCCCACGGGGGGAAAGACAAAAAGGCCCACACCTCGAGACCACCGCGCCCCCCCTCACTCCCGTCCACCCCTGTGGACCCAAGAACGGAAATAATTTCCGAAGAAATTACTTTCATAGCCAAAGTAAATTATTTCTAGAAAATTTCTAGAAAATTCCTAGAAAATTCTAGAATAATTTATTTTTTGCCATCTTATGCGGCTATATTATTCCAGAATAATTCACTTTGCTAAAAAAGGGCCCACCGAGGTGCCCACGAAGGCACCCCGCAGACCCCTGCGTGGCCCCTTGGGTAAGAATCGGGCACGCGAGCCCCCCGGAGGCCAGAAAGCTAAGCAGCGACACCGCCAAGCCCTAAACCTGTCGCCCCGACTGCCCTTAACCCAACGAACCCCTAGCGCACCTCTCTGCCACCGAGCTCGACCACCAGCACCCCGCCCCGATCCAAAGGCCCACCCCAACCCCCTGCGGCCTCCGATCATCCCAGCAGACAACCACGCCACCAAGCAAGCGCCTGAGCTCCTGCAGAAATACCCGCCCAAACCTGCCGAAGAGATACCCACACAAGCAACCCACAGCGCCAAACGATTGCAAATTTTTTGAGAATGTTTTTGAATAATAATTCCTCGAAGCTCAGGGCTCCAACGCTACCGATGACGCGGCGCATGGCATGGGAAGAAAGCACCGCTCTCCATAGGTTCCCGCAGTCCCCCATGGCCTTGATACTTACCCCACGCTCGCCCTCAAGCGGTGCAGCAATACAACGCACGCGCGTCGCGCTTCTTGTCGCTGAGCGAAGTGCCAGGCGGTGTCTGGAACACCGTCAAGGATTTCCCGATTGGTTTGGTAAGCGGATCAGCTCGATTCAAATGAGTCGGCAGTAGCAGATGCCCTCTGCGTGATCCTTCACCGCGTGAGAACGCATTTGGAAATGCTCCGCTTTCTTGGTTGGTAGGGAGGTCCCTGCCAGCCACCACGATAGCAGACGGATTGCCACAGAAAATTTGTGGCAGCATAGCGCTGGACGCATGCTACCCCATGAAGCCTCGAGACTTCACAAGTTGGAGCGTGTCGAACAGTGCCACGCACTCACTCCCGCAAGTGCTAGCTGCTCTAATGGATTGCCTCCGAGAGCTCCAAGCAACTGGAGCACCCCTATAGTAGAGCATACTACCCGAGCAGCTACACAGTGTGACTGTGCGCCCCGCATAATCAATCTGCATCAGAAAACGCCACAAAGTCTCGCGAGTCAGACTTCTTGTGACTCTTGCGGACTTTCTCATAGGTCTGGAAGAATTCCTTCTCCCGGGTTGGACTGTACTCAACCCCGCAAGACGCTGCTTGCAGCATGTACCGCAGAACACGTCTTGGAGCTGTTACGAGTGCCGAAGTCAGAGTCGTGACATGCCTCGCAACGCGGTTCACCGCAAATGAGCAGTCTGGTCTTGCTTGTGTGGCAGTCATTGCATTACAAACCTCCGACGAGTGAGACTTCTCAGTGGGGAGTTTGAATCTTCTGCGCATTCAGTAAGATCGCCCTAAACACCAGGCGACTGAATAGCCCTACCTGGTTGGTTCTACCTTGAACCTCTCGGCTAGCTTCTTGATGGACTGACCTGAGTCGAGTTCCATCTCCATCCTTCGACCCTCTGGCGTACGACAGTCACACCCCCAAGATATCACGGGCGTGGGCTCTCTTGTCTGCAAGCCTTTCAGCGTCAATTGCTCTACCATCGAAGTGCGCCAGGATTTCCCTGGTCACTTTGTCCACTTCCTCCGGTGTGTTGGCGCTAGCTAGGGAGTCATCAAAATAGGTGGCGATACTTACACCCTTGCGACCAGGCTCATTGGGACACCTTTCCCAACCTGTTTTCAGTAGGCAGCTAGAGTAGCAATCGCGCCACTTCCTAGGTGCTGCCTTCAGTCCGTGAAGGCTCTCCAATAGTCTCACAACGTCCCCACGCGGGTCCGCTGACCAATGCTCTCCGAGTCTAATGAGCACACGCTCATCATCCCCCAGCTCGCCTCTAACGAATGCGTTAGAGATGTCAAACTGGCCCAAGGCTTTGCCATTGGCAGCAGCATCACCTAGCAGCACCCTGTTAGCCGCGCGCGAGATTGTTGGCGAGAAGCTCTCAGCCTTACTAGCTTCCGTCTACCTATTGCCTAAAGCTAAGCAACGCGGCGAGCCTTGTATCTACCACGTCGCTCCTTTGTGTATATGACAACACGCGGGGCAGTCTCATCGTCGTCCTTGAGTTCACCACCATGGAGAGCGCGCCAAACGTTACAGCTTTCTAGCTGCAGCTTTTCAAGGTTGTCAGCCTCCACGAATTTCACAGAGTCAGGGCCCTTCATGGCTTCTGCACGAGTGACCTGAGCAGTAAGAGCAGAGGACGTTGCCACTTCCTTTTCCTCAAGATCCAGCATAAACATAGGACCTCCAAAAGCTGTAAACGCACTCGCGGCGTTAGCTTCTGCTTACTATGTCATCCCGCGGAGGTTCTTGCTGCATTCCTTTTCTCTTTTTCTCCTTTCAGCCACTGGCTGCCCAGTGCGGGCACTGTTCTTTTGTCAAGCCCGTAGGACGGCCCCACCTAAGCCGTACTTTGGTCACCGTTCCGCCACGGTTGACCATCTTGAAGGGATTCGGGTCGTCATCTATTAGATGCGAACAATCTGGGGAATCCGTCGCAGGACCTCCCTGAGGCTGTTGCGCGTCGCCTAGGACCTTGCCCCACGCGTGGAACCTACCTACTTGAATCAAGTTGCCCCGCTCCTAAGCGTTCCACTTCTTTCTCTGTTTTGCCTCTTTCGGCAGGAGACTCAGTCGACCCATTTGGATTCGGCTGCTGTGCTGGTTGATCGGTCCCGCCGCCGGTGGCTGGCCGTCAGCTGATGAAGACGACGATGGGCTTCCATCAATCTGTCGGCTGAGCGCCAGGGACTGTCTGTTTGGTTTCGCTGTGCTTTTGCCAGCATCAAAGTCAGCCGCTTTGTTTCCTGAAGAGCCATCTGCGCCTGATGGGTTCTCCGTTTTCCTTCTCTTGGCCTCCAGGCTATCCGCCCCCTCTGAAGTTTGCGACCGCTCACCCTCGCCGCCCCCTCCGAGTGCTGCACAGAGGTCGCGACTCCTCCTTACAACATCGGCCGGATCAGCTATACGCAGTCTCCGCTTCATACATAAGCAACGGGCCGCCATCAGCCCTAAGAGAATCTACCTCATCAGTGAGACAATCTTCCACGAACTTCACAGAAGCACTCTCGATGGCCTCAAGCTTTTCCGCACCGTTGGCGCCTTTGTGCCATACACCTACAAGAAAAGCGGGAATCTCTCTAGAATATCCGAGAGAGGTCCCCTCTTCAGATCTGTCCACCAGCTTTCTTAGCTGCGCATGGATTTTGGCGTAGCACATGCAGCCACGCCCCCTTAGGTGCTTAAGGGGCGCCTGTTTGTTGAACCTTTGCCGATAGGCGCGCCTGGCTTGTCTTTCCTCCTCTGTAGACGGTTAAACACGTACGCAACGCAGCGCGCGCACCAGTCCCAGACGGCTGGGCCTACGCCTTGGATATTCACCCGGGTGGCGTCTGCCATCGTGCGCGTCCAGCTTTCGACTTTGCCATTCTGTTGAGGTTCGTAGGGAAGTGAATGCGTAAGGTGGACCTGGATGCCCAATCCCGCCCGTGTCAGTCTCCATTTACTGCCAGGCCCTTTCAGTGTAGGCTCGTCATTAGTGATAGCGCGAACCCTTTTGGGCTTACTGCCCATCTCACGGCAGTATTGCTTTAGAGCTGCACCACAGTCAGACTTTTGCGATATGGCACACACTTCAACCAAATCCGTATGCGTGAGAGTCTATCAAGGCAAAAGCGTACTCTTTACCTAAGTGACTCGCTGGCAGCGGCCCCATGAAGTCACAATCGGCCTGGTCATGCCAGTTCTCAACCATGTAACTCGGGCCCCGCTGCTTCTTGTAAGACACTTGGCCACACGCTTCACCCTTAGCACAATCCGGACAAGGAACCACTTGGCCCCAGACGTTGAAGCGCGCTAACCTCTGCCGCAGTCTTAGCTTGTTTTGTGGGTTTGACACACTGGAGATAAATGAGCTGCGCGCTGGCGCTTCTGTTTCAAATAAAACAGCTGCCGCCAGCGCTCCGCTCTGAAGCTCAGCAGCCAGCGCGCCCTTCACCCGAAGGATCGTAGACAGTCCGCGAGTTCTTTGCGTAACGAAGCTCGCCGCCCGCTTGCGTTAGCTCTTCCACGGAGAGGAGCTGCCGACGCAAATCAGGACGATGAAGCCCCATCGCCAAACAGTAAGCGACTAGCTTCAAAGTACCCAGCTCAGGCCTTTGTCTTACAAGGGCCGCCGGCTGTGCTCAGTGGAAGCGTCACACCTGTGAACTTCTTGAGCGAAGATCTGTCGCCCGTCATGTGATGGGATGCCCCTGAGTCAGCAATCCACTTGGACTGCCGGCCCCCCTCCCGAAGGCTTGCTTATGGCGCAGCGTCGTTCGCGCTTGCCCACCTACAAATGCAGGACTAGCGTGCGCCCCGAAGCTGTTCCTCCAGCTCCTACTTTTGGCCGAACCTACCGTGGCCGACGAAGATGAACTACGTTAACTCGTACCCGTGTACAGGTCCGACCTTGTCCTTACCGACTCACGTGAGGCCGGTGGCCTTTGTTGTCTTGGGCTTGTGCCGGTGCCGCCAACCGACTCACAACACATGGGACCGATTGGCACTCATCCAAAGCCCGACCATACGACTCGGAAGCCGACGACTAATCACCTGCCTCCTCCTTTTCTTGTTCTGTCGCTCTGGTTTGCTGTGTGTTGCCCGTTGAACACATGCCCAATAGGCTGAAAATTTGACGCATGACCCAGCACGCCCGCGGCAAATACCTCAGCACCAGTCACAGAAGAACACCAATACAAAGTAGGTTCAGCAGGGGCCGACATCTCGACGCCTCCGGTAGTATCCATCATCGAGGATTTGTCTTCTTTTTCTTCGTTATCGTTGGGAAGTAAGAAAGTAACCCTCATTCTCATTCTCCTTCTCTTTGTTGTAAAGCTCCACCTCCTTCAGAACCTTCGCGCGCATCTTCTCGGTCTCCTCACACTTGGGCCCCATGTGAGCCAAGTCACCCGGAGAACAAGCACGAACGCACTCCGGCTGAGCTCTTGAATCTTGGTAGGGTCTTCGCTTTGTTCTTCAGCTTTGGGAGCCATGTCAGCGCCTTCCTGATGGTCTCCGGCCTGAACGGAGTCACCATCGCCGACAATGACCGGATTGCCGTCAGCTTTCTTCTTGCTTAGTTTGTCCCGCAAGCTCTTGAGAGCTTTGCCTGGATCTTTTGCCCAGCGCCCAGATTCAAGATGCCCAGGCTTGTTGCAGTGCGGGCGCCACTCCCCATCCTTCTTCGCCTTTCTCTTGTGCGGGTCTTTGCCCTTTCCTTTTCCTTTACCCTTGTGGGCAAGTTTATCCCTCAAGGGTTGGGCCTGTTTCTTCAGGCTTACTACTGCACGCGCAGCAGCGTCCTGCTCGTGTTCGCCTCCTTTCTTTGAGGTCCTGCAGAGCCGCGAACTCGCGCAAAGAAGGCTGGGCGACATCAAGTGGCGCCCCTTGGCGTGCCAACATGGAAGATGATACTACATCGGACTTCTTATCGGCGCCAATGAAGACGCACGCGGCCAAGAGCTCTCTCGCGTCAGTTTTATTCTGCAGAGTTTCAGCCATTACGGCCTCTTTTCCTTCGATCCGGCTGATGACACCCATACCCGAAGGCTGAAGATCCACCATCTGCTTGCACCCGGAGAAACGAGCGCTGGTTTCTTGACTTGCGTACTATTGACACAAGGAAGCCAAGAGCGAAGGGACGCGCTGAGGAGAGGCCATTCTAGCCACAGCCAAAGCCGGCGAGTCACCCGGGAGAGCGTTCAAAGCTACAACAGCCTTCACCTTCTTTAGATGCTTACCAGCGGCCTAGCTGTACTGCATCGAGTGCAGGCACCTCCTCCGCCTTCTCTTTCTTTTCCAGAATGTCCTTAAGGTGGGCGCCCGTGCTTGCTTCTTCCAGCAGAGGATAGACCTTGTCGAGCCAATCTCAGAAGCAAGGCAAGTCTTTGCTACTGCCCGAGAATTCCTCGAGGCGAGAGGTGCTCTTGCCTTCGGCGCCCATTTTGAATCTACAGAAGAACGGCGAAGAGCTTAATTATTCAGGCGACGCAGATGCAAACTGGTGAGGCTATAGAAAAGATTGAAGCTGACCCGATGGCCTCTAAGGTATAGCTAGAACGTTAGAACACTGAAAACCTAGAAAACTAGACCCGCAGGGGAGTCAAGTTGTAAACAGTACCCCCCTCGCTATACCTGCGAAGGCTGGAGCAAGTCCATTCAGTTTAATGATTCTCGTGCAGTTTCAAAGTGTGCCCGTTCATGTCTATGGGTATGGTATCAAGCTACTTGCTACGCTAGGGGCCTCGGCGCTGATGTTCTCGATCCCGATAGTATTCCACTCCTATGGTGATCACCCTGATGGCGATCCCCTTGGTGTGATCGTGTTGGTCTTCCTATTGGTGTGATTCTGACCCTGTAGCCATTTGGTTGACGATCTTGGTGGACCTCTTGACTGAGATCCTTGAGCAGTTTCACGCTGTTGGCCTATCCATTACCATTCTGCCCAACAGGGCTAGAATTGGCAACAGTTACTGCTGTGCCCTTCACTCGCTTACTGTTTTGCTGGATGTTCCAGCAGTAGCGCCATTAAGTAGTAAGGCGGAAGGCCTTCTCATCGTTGGGGCTCATTGGAAATCGAAAGAAACCTGTATCGGAGTTCGCATGGCGAGAAAGTGAGCAATTATTTCTCTTGGAAGAAAAGGCGAACTATGAAGATTTATACAAGTAGAGGGGAGCGAACCTAGCCGCGCACCCCGCTACGGGGGCTCCCTTGAGATGGGGCGTTGGAAATGGGGGACACAGCTTGCAGGTCGCCTACTCTAGTGGAGTACGTAGCGCGCAGCTTTTAACCTGAACCCCCCAGCCACGTCGATTACGCGGGTGAAGCGTCGCTGGAGAGAAAAAGACCCAAGAGCACACGGCTACAACACGAGAGGAAGAAAGACGAGACCGAAGCGTCTCGCTAATAGAAAGGAAGGGGGCTGAGAAGTGATAGCCTGCTAGGGGGCTATTCCCCGTTAGTCGTTACTAATCTACTGACTAACTTCCTCGTATGATGGTATTAGATCTATTCACATTTTTCTACAACGATTAGACCTATAGCTAAGCAGTCTGAGTATAGAACGATCATGGCCAAAGTAGATTCTTGCTCCAGTTATGAAAAAATGCCCAGTCTGTCAAATGTAAGCGATTCCAATTACGAGAACGACACTCATGCCTCTTATATTTCTAGAAGTGTGCAGGCCTTCTCAATGTTCTACTAGCCCATGACGCTAGTACGAACCTAAGATATAAATTCCAAACCATATTTCTGGGAACGTTCTACACTCTCTAGTGTGTAGCCATCATGTTGAAACACGTCATAAGCTGTGAAACTCTTGATCGAAGGCGAAAACAAGTTCGGCGCCCAGGCGAATGACTTTGCATTCACTGCGACTCTTGCTTAGGGCTTTGGGTTTAGTTTTCCCCCATTTCCATGATTTGGCCTATCTAGTGCATGCCCAGAAAGCGGGCCCATTATGGGCCCCCTGCGCTGGCCATTGCAAAGTCAGCTGGCTAGCTTTTGCGAAGCTACCGAGCTGGAGTGGCTACGGCTAGCAGGTTAGCCTTGGCGAGGCTGCTAGGTAGCAAGCTGGTCATGACTACGGAAACAAGCTACGTAGCTACGCGGGGCTAAGCTGGCAAGGCAGTCATGGCTCGCCTAGCAAGCTGGCAATGGCTACTTAAGCTAGCGCCAAGCCGAAGCCAGCGCGCCTGCAGGCTAATGTGCTAACCTAGCAGGCTTGTAACGGCTACGCAGCTAGCGCGCTGGCAATGGCGAAACAGCTAGAAAGCTAGACAGAGCTAAGCTGTTAGCAAGCTAGCTATGGCCAAGCAGCTCGCGCTCCCGCTATGGTTAGTCAGCCAGTAGCAATCCAGTTGAATAAGCTATGGCCAAGCAGCTAGCAAGCTGGCTAAGGCCGAGCAGCTAGCAGGCTAGCTACGGCTAAGCCGCTAGAGAGCCTCCTAGCTATGGCGAAATAGCGAGCAAGCTAGCCATGGCTAAGCAGCTAGCAAGCTAGCTAGGGCTAGCCTAGCAAGCTAGCTAGCCACTGCTAAGCCAACAGGCAAGCTATCCTATTGCTATGCTAGCAAGCTTAGCTAGCTACGGCTAAGCAGCGAGCTACCTAGCCATGACTAAGCTAGCAAGCGGAGGCCCTTAAGAAAGAGGTGGCACTTGCTTCATCAATAAAGAGGGCCTTCCTATATTCTTAGCCCAATTTTGTTACAGGGGACCCTCAGGGTCATTTTTTGCCCTTAAGGGAGCCCTATAGTGGATTTCTATAATCGAAATTCTTTAAGGAATGCAGTCTCCTTGCAGAAGCTCCTTAAGGAGGTCTCCACGAGGACAAGCCGAAGTCTTGGCCTTAAAAAATAATTGCTGGCGATTTAAGTGCGAATATCTCCGAGCACATAGTTGGGCGTACTGAGTGAAAGGCCTCACCTTCTAGGCCTATGTGTATGACTATGCACGCGCGCCCCGTACGCGGGCCCCAAAAGGGGCCCGCCAGTCCCCGGGTTTGAAAAGCAGGCAGATAAGAACCAACAGCAAAAGAAACGCCAACGCATGTCAGCCACGCAGCCAATCAGCATAGACAAGTAGCCAGCCAGCGTAGAGCGGAAGCCCTAGCCAGCTAGCCCAGAAGCCAAAGCCAATGAGCCCGGACAGCATCGCAAGAGAGCCGAGAAACTGGACCCCCACCTGGCCCAGAAGCCCTCGCCAACTAGCTTAAAAGCCAGAGGCAACCAGCTTGCTAGCTTAAAGCCTCTGGGTGCCTAAGCCGGGAGCCACAGCCACCAGCCAAAAAGCCATCGACGGCGAGCATCAAGCGCGCCTTTCCAAAAACTTCCAACTTTCTATTTTTTTAGGAAGCTCGCGGGCATTGGTCAGTAGTGTAATTGGCTATCTAACTAAGCAGGATAGGAGGCCTAAGGCCGGGGCCACTCTTTATACCTATGGAGCCCGTGGAGACCCCACAGACAAGAGGCCAAGGAAGGAGGCCAAGACGAGAGGGTCAGGGAAACAGATAAGGGCAAAACACCGCCCCGCATGGGCTTCCCCGTAGGCCTCTATAGAGGCCAGCGCCAATCGCGACCCTACAGCGAGGGGGTGCTCCCTTGAAAGAATGCTGGCCGCACAGAATCCGGCGGCTACAAATCCAGCCAAATGGAAGGCCGCCGCGCTGACCATTTGCGAGCCAGTCCGTGGCTATCTGGGTCGAGTTTGGGCGCTGGAGTCGATGACGATGATGACGCAAGCCCACCGATCGGGTGGGGCGGGGTGCCATCTCACCCCCGCAACCGTTTTACCTAAGAGGGGCGCCCCCCTTAAGATACAAAGCTGCCCCTACTCGACCCCGCAGAGAGGGGCCAGACCTGCGGTCGCCGCCTCTCCGTGGGAACCCAAGGAGGCGAGCGCGAGGGGAGCCCGTTTCGCTTTCTCTTACCCTCCTGCACTGCCTCCCCCTAATTCATCAGGGGCTCTGGAGTCGGTCTAGAAAGGGCCCAAACTTTGGCCACAATGAAAGCCAGAAGATTAGGAAGAGGAAAGGGGCCGCTTCGTTGTGGCTTCATATATGATCTAAAAAAAGCGAGGGGCTATCCCTAATAAATTCTACAGAAGACCAGCGCAAATCTGGACAAAGCCAAGGGGGCGTCCCCGTTGTTTGGGACCCCTTTGGAGGGGGCTCAGATGGGCCTGGCGCTGCCCGCTCTTCCGTTAACAAAATGAGGCGACCCCAAGGGCCAAGCGATCCCCCGATCGCCGTGAGCATGGTTCCCCCGCACACCCCGCCCTTCAGCCTCCAAAAAGAACAGACCACGCACGAACGCCGAGCCCCTCAGCGGCCCCTCCAAGGGTAGCCCCTTAGCTGATTCGCATTAGCTAGCCAGTGGGCTACGTGCTCTCACCGTTAAAAAATTCAATAAACGTGCAAAGGCTGGCGCCTTTTCTTTCGCAAAATCATACGCGCCAGCAGTGAGCTTAAAGCCAACCAAAATCCCGCCAGCTCACTCGCTTGGGAGCAGTAGCAAGCCCTGGCCAGCTGGCTAGCTTACTTAGATGATAGAAGCCAGCGCCGGCGAATGCGATGGCCAGCTGACTCCGAAGCCTTGGCCAGCTAGCTCCGAAGCGCCTGAGCCAGCTAGCCTGGAAGCCTCGGCCAGCTAACAGAGCAGAGCGAAGCTCTGCGCGGCTAGCTCAGAAGCTTTGGCCAGCTAGCTCAGAAACCTTGGGAAGGCAGCTGGTCGTGAAGCCTTGGTCGGCTATCAATCTCAAGAGCCTTGGCAAAAGTTTGCGCCTCCAGCACTCAGGAGAAGCGCTCGCCAGTCAACTCGGAAGCTCTGGGCAGCTTGTTAGCCTACTCAGAAGCAAAAGGGTGCCGGGGCTTGCTAGATTAGAAGCCCCGGCCAGCAAGCCTAGAAGGCTTGGGAGGCTAGCCAGGATATCGCACCACTTTAAAAACAAGCAGAGAAAATGGAAAAATTGCAAGCATTCCATGATCCCCGAAAAATGATAATTATTCCATGGTCTTTCCACATGCACATATCCACACTACTCCAAATAATATCTAAAGACTGACCAACTTGCAAGAGGGAGGGCCCTTAAACTACAGCTGTCAGGAGCAGCATCATCTGGTGGCAGCGTTAGAGCAGGAAGGCAACGCCACCATGCGAGAATGTAGGCTTTTTATCTGATATGTCGGCAATTTTCCTGTATTGTATGTTCCCCCCGTAGTTGAATTCCCCGCGTTGGATATCGCTTGTCCTCAGATTGCGACTCCAATAAATTCTATAAACTTTTGATTTGAGATTGTAGAAAGAGGATCACCACCGACGTAAATTGGTGAGGGGAATCGGAATGAACTCCGAAGTAACTTCCCACTCGTGCAGAAAAACATGGGTGTGCTTCGTGAGCAGGTCGCGCAGAAAACAAATTGCGTCGGCAACAGCGGGCATAAACGTCTCCGCATTGATAGTCTTTTAGAAAAAGGGAGCGCTTTTGAAAAGTGGCCTGATTATCATGGTGAGGAAATCTGTAAGCGCTCCCCTGCTTACATCTAGCTCTAGGCATCAAAAGATATAGCCATAGACCACCTCTTCTTACACTTAGTCCCAGTAAGTTAGTGGTAGTGAGAAAGAGAACAAATAGACCATTTTTAGATGCAACTGTTACAAGTACATAAGCCATGACGCTACGGCACACGTACTGTCGATCCCATCACAGAACGAGCTTGGCCATGAATTCAGTTTCAGATACACAAACGCGATTAAGTGTAGGCAATACTTAGGCACAGTTGATGTCGATTCTGACACACTTCATGAACCGAGTTTCAGTTCTTGATCTTGTTCCAGCGCAGCCATAATTATTCTTGATAATATCGCTACCCAAGTCGAGTATATACTTAAGCCAGTTCTTCGGCTCTAGTGATTCGCTTGCCCGCACAACACCCGTCAGCTGCTTTTTCAGCTCCTTCCTATACTTCAAGTCGCAGACCTGATGCGAGAAGATCTTCAAACTCGGAACCTCTAGTTAGAGAAGTCCCATCTTTTTCCACTTCGGAGGACGGCTTGTCTGTGTGATCTCCTCAACTATTGTGCCTATAGTTATACATAGATACACGATAGCAACTTTACTTCTTCTTTTCCTGCTTTTTCTGCTTATGGGAGAGCGGGGGCACTGTCGAGATGATGCTAACTATCGGAAAGCAGAAGTATCGTCGAGGTGATCATGCTACTTAAGCCAGCGAGATTATTGGAAAGCGAAATCAAGCTAAGGGTCGGCCCGGGATGCAAAATATAAAAAAATGCTCAGAGATATATATTAATATTGATTTTGATTTTTATAGCATTAGCCAACAATCTGATCATAATCCACGAAGAAAAATAAACTCTCATCCAAAGCATTCAAGTCAGCGACGTCGATCTCACCACGAAGCCGACCGTATCCGTCACGCGTGAAGTGGATGTCTTGCGACTGTAGCACATGGTGCAAAACCTGGCTCTTAGAGGTGGCGGGGGCGAGAAGCCGAGGAAAGCGCTTTCTATCATAATGCCACGCCGTGGGGCCTCTTTTATCGCCCTGCGCGTATATGCGAGGCCTTTCAATGTGATAGTACTTCCAAAGGAGAGCCGTTGCCTTTCAACGATAATATCTCACGCAGACACTGCTTAGTAGTTCTCCCATCAATAAGTAGAAGCTGTTTGAGAAGTGTACAGCTACAGACGACCTTGTATAGGCGTAATACAGTACTCAGCGGACTGCGCGCTGTCGATTCAGGGGCACCGAGATAGCAGCCCCGAGGCGGTTCATATTGTGGCTGGTAAAGCTTATGTTGCTATGTGGTACAAGCTACGACCAATCTGCAAACTGAAGCTCGATTATTTGATGCGACACTTGGAGTCGCCGCGCCTGTCTCACAAGGGATACCATACCCATACGACCACACTCGACCACCAGAAACTGGTGGAGGGGGAAGACCGACGACCCACCCGAACGCTCGGATAGGTCATGGTCGGTCCACCACGGGGGGAGGAGTACGAAACACCAATAACCCAAAAACACTCCGACACCCCACCAGCGATCGATGACACCGAAGGGGCGAAGACCCGTGGAAGACATGCAGAACAACACACACGACACCACGATCATTGGACCAGACCACAGCCAACAAGAGATGGCATGCGCAATACGAACACAGAAACGAACCCGGATCCGCGGGCACGAGGCACAAGGGGTCGGCGATCAAAGAGACAGTCCCCCGAGTAATCCACCATACAAAAACACGATCGCCCCTCATGAAAAAGAAACGACGAACAGAGAGAGGGGCAGAGACACTGGCCAACCTAGACAGGAGCGAGGGGAGACACAATGGCCGACAGGGTGGCGCCCACGATCACAGACGAGCGGGCGCATGGATGCTCACACCCGCACACGGGACAAACTTACAACGCAGCGAGAGGGAGGAACGGCGCAAGAATGCCAAATAACGAGACCTACCAACGACGACGACCTGAACCAGAAGGCGGAGGGCAGACTCGGGGGCAACACCTCAGCAAAGTTGGTAGCCATGAGCGGAGGCCGGCACGATAGCGGAGGACCCTGGAGTGAAGCCATGCCTCAAAACCGAGCCGCTACTCCACAAATGAGCCACCCGATGCAAGAGGTGCTGCCTTCGGTGACACGCAACACGAGTAAACTAAAGCCGACCACTCTGCGAGGGATATAGACGAAGGGACGCACGCGTAACCTGGACGATTCGAGCCAACGCCCACGCATGAACGTGGGCGGAGGCCATACGAAACGAAAGCCCCAACGACGGAAGAAGACGAAAGAGGCCGCAGACAGCCACTCTGCTCAAACACAACGGCACTGATCGGGAGGCGGACCTCGAAAGAATACCCCACGACGCACAGCAGACGAGCCGAACCCGAGTGGCCCAAAGCCGTGGGAAGGACGGCGCAGACGTTGCGCACGGGGCGTGGCCTATCCAATCCACCCAAAAGGCCGAGGCAATACAATCAAAACCGAGAACGAGAAGGGACCACAAATTTAGTTGTTCAGTCTCAGAAGTTGAGAGTTATTATTAATTGGCATTGCCTCAAATGTTGAGAGTTACTCAACTACTCATCTTCCTGTTCTACAGGAAGAGGACCAGACACAGTTCTTGTACTCGGCCTTTTCGATGTAGTTTTAGCTTAAAGGACTTAACTAAGAAGATAACAAAAAAAGCTGTCGAGTAATCATGTTGACTATAAATATTCCTAGAGGGGTACTTACTACTACCTAGATGTCCTACAGTCAGATAATAATTGAAAAAGTAGCATCTCTGACTTAACACCCAGGGGGTTCGGGGTTGTTGCCTGGAAATCTTCCCAAGTCCAGTCAATTTCTGTTTTCTTCCTTTGAGCGTTCCCTCTCATGCGGTCAAAATGCCTCTCATGCGCCGACCCTTCCTTGCTTGCTGATTCAGGGGGGAAGCCCTGGTCTTTCGGAAATGCTCCTGGCGAAGCAGGTATGCTCAGGCCAGAAGATTCCTGCGCGTTTGCTTTGGTCAGACCAGCACTAGCTGCTGCATCACCACGAGCTTTTACAATTCTTCCCCAATGCTGCAAGCGCGTGTCCATGTAGTCTTTGGCGGGTTCCCTGATTGTCCAGGGCGCCACCTCGTGCATAAAAGAATCCTTAAAAACCGCAGGCAGCAATAGTCCCACCGCCTGTCCCAGGTTGCCAACTTAGAGAGACCAAGCCCCACGCTTTGCCAAACTTTTTCGACGAAGTTGCGCAGACTCTGCGCCGACCAGCGTCAAGACTGTGCCTACCAGCAGAAAAGCCGCGCCGACCAGCAGAAGGGCCGCGCCAGTCCATTGGCAAAAGAACGGCGCCGACCGCCAGAAGAGTCGCGCCGATCAGCAGTGGAGCGGCGCGCACCAGCACAAGCAAGACGGGCCACACACCCCGCCAGAAGAGCGCAGCGACACGAACCTTGCTCGGGCGCGTCAGCACATCACTCAGCAGCAGCGCACGCCGCCCCGCGGTGGGGGCAATCGAATGAGAACACCGAGGGCCCAGCCCCTTCCCCTGTTCGACTCTGAGCACCACAAAGCGCCACAGCCCCTTGGCTGCCCCTCCTTTGGTTTTCTCGCCTGCCTGTTCGAGTCTGATAACCATGAGAACGCGCAGCCCTTTGCCCCTTCTGGAGAGTTTCTCTGGCTGTTAGATCGCACGGGAACACCCTGGGAACCCACGACGCCTGAGCAAGTACCCCCGCGGCCCAGACCCTGCTGGCATGGCGGGCCATAGCATAGTCCGGACCCAGTGACCCGACCCGGGCTACAGCTCCGTCCAAAGTTTATCGCCGATGCGCAGAACTCTGCTGGTAGCGCGCGCGGCTCTTCTCCTGCCCATGCGCGCAGTATGACTGCAGCCCTTCCGCTAGGGCGCGAATTCTTCTGCCGATCAGCGCCGCTGTCTGGAGCTACATCTGGTTATGGGTCATAGCTCGCGGCCCTTCTATGGATTCAGTGCGCGCGAGATCTCAAATTCTTCAACCAATCAGCACCACCCCCAACTCTGCTGACCGGTGCAACCCGACCGCCAATCGGAGCAGCCCTCTTGGTGATTTGTGCCGGTCAGCACAGCGTTCCCACTTAGCAAATCGATAAACGAAAAACATGGCAAAAAACTACAGGAGGGGCCTGCCCAGCGTAACCAACTCGGTAAAGCGGAGCCACGACTTTACTGTCCTCGCACAGCTCGCGGGGGCACTCGCTGGGGCCCGTCTGCGGTTCACCCGCCTCCCGGTTCCTCTCCACCGTCTGCAACGGACCAGCGGGGCACGCCTCACTACGTGGACGCGCCGGCCCAGATATCAGCGCAAACATCTTTGCTACCTTGCGCACGCCATCCTTCCACCAGCGTTCGCGCTCCATATCCTCGCCCACTATTCCGCAACCGCATGCATCAACTGTTTCACCTGGCCACAGCGTCCTCGCCTTGTGCATGCCAAAGGCCATCCACTGGCACTGCGGTTCTTGCTTGTTCCATTGAGGAAGGCGCAAAGGGTTGAGCGAATGACCAAGCAAAAAGAAAATCCCAACGCGCGGGTGTGAGATGATCTGAAGCGACTTAATTCGCCCCCCTAAAATATTTTGCACTCGCGACGAGCTCACGACCCTCCACCGCTCGATTAGAGGCAAGGACAGGGCAAAAGCTGAGCGACTTTCTGTTCTCAGCATTGATTTCGGCTGCGCAGCCTGGATCCGGTGCTAGGTTAAGCCCCATCTGCTGCGACGTTCGTCGACGCAGAAGCCCTTGCGTTTTTGTTTGCTGTTTTTTAAAACGTGGAGACTGGGACTGTGGCGCGCAATATATATGGCCCAAGGCGCGGGGCGACGGTGCCCCCCCTAGCATAGGGGGGGCACCGTGCAGCCCCAAGCCCCTCTCTAAGGCGTCAGCCGTGAAACGCAACCGCTGGGGGGGCTCTAATCCCTTCCGCTTCCAGCTGGTGCCTGGCTGCCTGTTGCCTACAAGCCTCCGACGTATTTTAAGCGGGAGGCTTCAAAAATACGGGCCCCCAGGGGCCGCCTGCGTCCCCGTCCAGGTGCCTGCCTGCGCCCTAGGTGCCTCCGATAGTTTACTCGTCACGCCTCGCCGCCGCAGCAGTGCGCCGGATAAGGAAAGCCCCCGAAGGCGGCAAAAGGCGAGAGGCTGGACCCCCTGCACCGTGCAGCCTGGCAGTACCCTCCGAGCCCTTGGCCATTGGCTTGCTTGCTCTTGCGACCGTGGCCGCCATCAGCGGCCTTTTACCCCGGAGGCCTCCCAACTGCGAGGGCCAGCAGAGGCCAGGAGGCCCCACAAGGATGAACCACAGCAAGGACAAAGCCCTCGCCCCTGGATGCGGATGCCTGCGCTGATGACTAGTGAGACAAATAAGAAAGAAAAAGCCTTCCCAACGACCCCAGCACAACAGCACTACGCCTACAGAAGATAGCCACGGAAATAAGATGCGAAAAAGGCGACGAATATAGTCCGCAACCATTCGCCGATGCCGTGCTGTGGACAACTTGGGAGGACCATAGTGGCATAAGATGGGCCATCCGATGGATTACGACTAGCAGTGCTTGAGTAAGTGCGCAGATTTTCTAAAAGTAAAAGGCAACAAATAACAAAACACGAGCGCCAGCAAATGCCCTGCAATGCATCGAGTTGCGCCATTGTTATTGTTTGGTCTACTTAGTAGGCTGCGCCTAGTTTTACTTACTGAAAGGACCGAGGCGTGCCTGTTTCTTTCCAGCTTAAAAAATTCAATTTGCCTTTGGCCTCTGCAAAGCGTTCCCAGTGAAACTCCAGCGTACCAAGAGCCGAATGCATCATATAGTTGCCAATTGAAAAAGGCGCATAGGGAGGAAGGTCCCCCTCTCCGCGCCGCTCCGCAGTCATGCCTTCCGAAGTGTGATCATGGAAAGTGTAGCACATCTCTCCCAGTTTTTCAGAGCCCATCTAGATTCTGGAAGATGGCGCCCCTTTTAATATTCCTCTTGAAGGTAGGCAACCCATAGAAAAGCCCGCCCACTTCCCCTCGGAAGTGGGTTATAACTCGTAAGAAAGACAGGCGGCCCTGTTCGTGGAGGGTCTCTAAAATGGGAGATGGTGCATCCATAGAATTGCACCAGCTGATCTGGGACCTTCACTCGCATCGTTTCACAAGGGTGAGCCCGTAGTCGCAGCTTCAATGAACAAGAGAAAAGCGGTCGAGGTGTATATATAACGAAGCTAAACCCAAGCCCTCTTAGTGGATGGCCCTCGATGTCCACTAAATGGGACAGAATCATCCCGCGCGAGCCCTCGCAGGGGAGTCGTGAAGAATTTGCTAACGGTTTTGCTGGCTTTGCAAATTGAAACCGATTGACGCGCCGACGGTCCTCCGCAGACAGCGCGCAGCTGTCGCCGAGGAATCCCGACAAGAGCGACGACTGGCCGACAAGTCAGCCACCGAGCGAAGCCTTCCGAACGCTTTGGGCTAGTAACCCCTCTCTTTCCAGTCACGCTCCCGACCCCCGACGACCCACCAAAGGGGGGAGGCCACTTCCACTGCAGCAGCCCTTCCACGGCCGCACGGCCCCAGGCCTGCTCTGTCTCCTAGCCCAGCGACCGCGCACCAGCTCCAGCAAAAGCCAGCGGCGCCCACCGCGGAAGCCGGCTGCACCGTGGGGGGGTCAAGCCTGCAAGAGCGGCCGCCGCAATCTCCGCCGACCCGCCGACGGCGGCCAGATGTGTTATTGTATTGCTCTATTTTTGTGGCGCTTTACAGCGTGTCGCGATTTTCAATGTATTTTGCATATAGATCACCCCCAGGGCCCCAACGCAGACACGCCCACGAGGGGCGTCAGCTCTCCGTTGGTAATCCGCTGCTTTTTGCAGTATTATTTTACCCACCAAAACCCACACAGCAAACCTCATAAACCTCACCCGCCATCAATTGCCCTACAGCACAGCCGCGCCTCAGTCATATCATCTAGCACAGTCAGACATGAAAGAAAGCAAGCGGGGGGATTGCCGTGGGCCAGCGCTTCGCTTCTTTATGAGTTCGCGGCCTGTTGTTCGCGCTTCCCCCAAGCTCATTGCCGTGCAGTCTTGCTGCGCTTCTAGTCTCGAGCATGTACGAGCAAAAAAGACCAAGAAGGGCCCACCCCAGCTGCTTGCCTGTCCCTCTTGCCAGCGTCATGCGGTCAGACACCTACCGGCATACCTGAGGGCGCTGCCCGAGCTTTTTTCCGTCGTTTTGATCCACTTGCCCACTTGTCATTGGTTGCGTCGGTGGTGTTTTATGGAGAGGCTGCGAGGCCGGCCACTTTCGTGAAAAATAGACGCGCGCGAGCAAAGAAAGCTCGGCGGGCTCGGGGTGCCTGGAGCTTTCTTGGCAACAGCCGAAGGCGGTCCATTACGTTGCGCATGATGAAGCTGGGCGCGCTTCTTTGCTTTGTCGCTTGTGGGGTGTCAGCCGTGGGCATGTGCTTCATCCTTGTGGCAGCGTTTCCACCCGCCCTCAGTCTCTGGGCTATGTCGCTAGTGCATCAGCGACACGCATGCGCCTGCTTGTGCTCAGTTTGTGGCCGTGGCTGTCTCCAGCCTCCAGCTGGAGGCTTTTTTGCAGCCAAGTGCACGAACTCACCAAACTGCAGCCCAGCAGCATGCCCCCCCCTCCACTGTGTAAAAGCGTAACCTTTGCAGCACGTCTCCAAAACGTGGACGCTTCCTGTAATGCTCGCGCGTATCATGCCAGAAGGGCGCAGCCGTCAGCTTCTGCGGTGTATCGCGTAGCCCACTAGGATTTCATGGCCCGCAAGTGTAGCACGTTAACCATGTGGCACCCCTCCGCCCTGCCCCGGCGTGTGGGTACCCCAGGGGCACATCGTGATCGGTATTCATATTAACTCTGAAAGTGAGCAACTCTCTACAAATTGCAAGCATTTCCTAAACCCGACGTCGGATCTGCTTGCCAATGTTCGAACTAAAATGGGATAAGGCTTGACGCCGATCCCCATCCCGATTTTGATCACAGGAGAAAGATAGAAGGGAGCC